TATATATATATATATATATATATATAGGGTTGGGTTCACGTGAGACCAGCCTATTTTCGTGAGACCCGTGAGACCACATTTTTACATGTAAACTTCACAGCAAAAACACTGTTAAAGTTTAAAAAAAGTCGAACCTTCACAGCAAAAACACTGTGAAGGTTTTAAAAAGTCACCTTCACAACATTTTGTTGTGAAGTTTCAAGTGTAAAATGTTGGTCTCACGGGTCTCACGAAAACATGCTGGTCTCACATGATCCAAAGTCTATATATCTATATATATATATATATATATATATATAGGGTATATTTCTTTTACAAGCTTGTGCATTTGTACAACCTTTGCAACCCAATTTATTAAGATATTTATAGAAATGATTGGAGTTCATTTATTATGATTTGAATATTTATGGAATATGAATAGAGTTTATTAATTATGATTAATACTTTATATTAGGAAACAATTAATTGGTTAAAAATTGAATGGTTGAGATGAGGGTTGTATAGGGTGTAGGAATAGCAAAGGGTGTAGAATAACATCCCTATATATATATATATATATATATATATATATATATATATAAATAAAGTGAAAATACCCTTAATTTAAATTTGTTAAGCCCTAAAAAGTTGGTCCAATTAAGGTATATATAGGGAGAGATTTAAATGAATAAATAAATATATCCATGCAAGCCTTTTATATATAAGCTTAAGTAAACCAGACCAAGATGGCCTACGTTTAAAGCAAAAGTTCACATAATGTCGCCTCTAAGCAAGCCAACAGTTTGCTTATTCAAACATCTAATTTTCATAGAAAAACCTTTGACCATACCATTAACCACATATATATTAATTGACCCACCCCCACCCCTTTCATCTCCATATAAAGAAGATGACTCCAGTATCTTAAACCAATCATGAATATCGATTTAAAATTTGTGTACATTTGATTTTTTTATATCATATCAAAACTTACATCTAAAATATGTCAGTTCGTCTCTTTCATGTTCATGGATACTCTACTCTAAAATTTCGTTATTCAAGATTCATCCAAATTGTTACATATATATGCAGTTATATAAGGATCGAATCATTATATTTAAAAAAGAGGCTTTATTGATGGATTTTTTTGTCAATAACTGAATGTGACCACCAAACTTTCTCCGGCGATGAGATCCGTCGGTGATAACTTTTTTTCGGCGGATTATCAACAATTTTTTTCGTTGGTGAAGTCTTTTTGTTTTGTACATTGTTAATTCAATGAATCAATTGGTCATTTACTACTTTCATCGTTGTGACAGACCTTATAGAAATTGGAAATTTACGAGGTAGACAAAAATGAATATTCTTGGTATTTTATTATCTTTTTGAAATGAGTAAACCCACTTATTGTTATCCCCAAAAATCACAATGGAGGGACAATTGTCACTTTTAAAAATATGTTGTCTAAAACCCACATCAATAAATTGATGCTTCTTTTTGCAAATTTTTGAATATTCATGTTTGGTACTTGACGAATTTTCTTTTTGAGATTTAGTCAAAAAGAGTTTATGAGATGACTCCAATATTAAAATTAGTATAATTAATTAGAAAAAAAATAAATTAATGCAAAAAATGTATGCTTTAATGATTTAAGTAGTTTTAATAGTGTGTTTATAATAAAAATATGCTACTAATAAATAGAGACAACGAAAAGTGTTTGTGGATAGATAAATATTATTTTTTTATTAGCACGTATATTAAAATCTTGAAATTTTCTATAAAACAAAAATCCACCAAGATAAATTAGTAATCCATCGTAAAAATCATCACCGACAGATCTCATCGTCGAATAAAGTATGGTCAGTGATTGTAATTATTGGTGGATTCTCAATTACTGACAGAAAAATTAATCTGTCGATGACGGTCAATCCGTTAGCAATCCGCTACAAATTTGTTGGAAATTACCGGCTTAGAAATATTTATAATGATTACATACATATTGACTTAATTATTAGGTATATAATTTATTTGTTTAATTTAGTGTTTTAGAAAAGAATGCATACAAGTTATGCAATATACATTAAAATTATTATTTAAAATATATATAGGATTAGAATCATGTGAGATTAATTATTTTACGTAAGATTGTATTATAAAAATTTGGGATTTTTAAGGTGAAAAGTTATAGTGTTTTTTATATGAATATTTGTTGTGTTTTTTATATGAAAGTTTGGTTTGTTATTTATTAATATTCAAATCTTTAAATGTGATCTTTGGTGTTTTTATTTTGTGAAGCTCTGGTATTTTAAGGTTTGATGAGATAAAAAAAACTCATCAATTAACCACAGGTGGTCGTTCTGAGATTAATCGGTTCATATAGTGAATTGGATATCCAGGTTAATAATAAAAATCATCAATTAAAGAGTTTCAAGATGTTCTAAAAAAGGGTTATCCCAAATGATCTCAACTCTTCTCTCTCTATATATATAATAACTACTATATTTAAGTAATTTGTAAGACACTTTCTAAAATAATAAATTCATATATAAATTACTATTTTTGTTAAACAAGTTTTTATGTAATCATGTATATATTTAAGTATAAATTGAAAATTCAAATAAAAAAACAAAAAGGTTGAGAACTATAAATATGTGAATTATTGCTAAATTTAAAAAAATTCATTTGAAATACATATATGAATTCATGTTCACTTACTTATCTTTTTATTAATTATTCATATATGAATATGCATATGGCATATGTAAATTCATGTTTCCTTATGAGTAATTTATTTGTATGTTCTCAATGTTTGTCTTCTTATTTGAACTTATATAAATTATACAGCCGAAATTTATATAAGAATCATAAATACTTTAAGAGCCGTGAGAACATCAACAAAAGGGAGTTTATAGAATGCAAAAAATGTGTAAAATATCATAATAAACTATTTTATAGGACCCGAGTTAATAGAAACATGTAAAAGTATTACAATAAGTATATATGATACTTTTAGACATCTTAACAAGTTTTAAAACAATTTTGAAATAAAATATCATATTAGTTTTTTATACGACAATTTGAGAAATGACGTCTTAGGGACATATCTTTTTCAAACAAATTTCGAAATAGTGTCATAAAAAGTTAATTATAAGACCACTTGATTTCCAAATTGTTTCTAAAAAACTTGTTACAATATCTAAAAGTGTAATATAAACTTGCAGTAATGTTTTTATATAGGGCACACAAATGTTTGATCCTATAAACTTATAAAGCAATATTATGACATTTAGACATATTTTTCGTATATTTGTTTCTTATAGTCAAACGGTGTCATCATTTGAAATTTTTTCCCTATGGTTTTTCTTATAGTCAAATGATAACAACGTTTGAAAAAAATTGTAGATACGTCTTTGATTTGTACATAAAATTCTTGTAGTTATA